ATCTGTGATCTTAACATATTCGTCGGAATCGGATCAGTCGCCGGAAAAGTCGTCGGAACGGTCGCCGGAATAGCCCCGGAGTTGTAGGGGTGGTGGAGGTGGGGGTGGGTTAATTATTTTATAGTAGAATTAAATATTAATAATAAATTAATTTAATAATTATTATTTCATAATTAAAAATTTAAAGAAAGATTTTTGAAATTTAAAACATGTTTTGATATTTTTAAAAAGGATAAAAATAAATGGCTGATTTATGTATTCTTCCCAAGAATTTTTACTACAAATACAAGAGTGGAATGTGTGGTGTTAGTGTAGGCTTTCTCGAAGGGCTTATTTCATGATTTCGGAATGGGCCGACGAAAACGATGGCCCAATATGCTGGTTGTGGAACAACAATGTCTATAATCATGTGCATCTCGCGTGGCGCCGCTCCTCAATTTGATCCAACGGTTCTGATAATCGCGTCAGCTTAAAGCTAAGCTCAATTCAAAAATTTTCAAATTAGGGCTACCAATATATATGCGCACACACTGATTCACAAAACGCATTACATAAATCTAACCTGTGATTCTCGCCTCCATCGCTATTTTTCTCTCTCCATAAACGGCAGTATCAAGCGAATGGTAAGGCCATTTTGTTTCTGATTTAATTTGTGTTTTTAGGTGTTTTGATAAATGTCTTCGATTTGGCGAGATTTAGCTGCTTCTTTTTTTCATTTATTTATTTGGGTTTCTAGGCCTTGCCGAATCAGCAGACAGTGGATTACCCAAGCTTCAAGCTTGTAATTGTTGGCGATGGTGGCACTGGTAATTTACTTTTATATATTGCTTGTTCCTGTTGGTTTTATATAAATTATTTTTTTTCGTTTCGCTATTCCGTTTATTCTTACACTTGATTTTGAATGTACTAACTAAAACTAGCAGTTTTTGGATAAGACTCTGATCCGTGAAAAAAGTCGATTCAGATAATATTTTCGTGCCTATCTCCAATTGAAACTATGCTGTTTGATTTGTTTAGCAGTTTAATATCTTATTTTCGTGTTTTAATTGTGTTTCGCTGGCTCTCTTTTGGCCAAACGTCGATTTTGAGATTAGGGTTTAGGGTTCATTGTAAGTTGCCGTAGGTCGGTTTACTGTGTTTTGATTTATGGTTACTTGTAAGGGTCCAAGTTTCAACCTGTTGAAACCATAACATGATATCATATATTCTATGCTACTAAATATGAAATGAGCAAATTGCATATTTTTGGTTTACAACTTTCCCGTAAAGAGTTCAAAATAAAAGAGTGAATTAATGCAGTCATTTATTTTATTTCATGTTTTTGCTATAATGGAGTTTTTTTGTGCTGTTATAGGGAAAACAACATTTGTGAAGAGGCATCTCACTGGTGAATTTGAGAAGAAATATGAGCGTAAGCCTGCTCGACAAGTTACGCTTCAATTGTGATATTTTATTTTATTTTATTTTGTTTTCTTAATTAATTATTTTGATATGGGTATAGCAACCATTGGTGTGGAGGTTCATCCCTTGGATTTCTTCACAAACTGTGGAAAGATCAGGTTTTATTGCTGGGACACTGCTGGTCAGGAGAAATTTGGTGGCCTCAGGGATGGATATTAGTAAGTAACATTTACTAAGATGTGATAAAACTGTTAACAATATTTTCAATTAATTTACAAACTCCGCATTCTCTGTTATATATTCCAAGGGTGAGCTGAGAAAGTTACAGGTTTTCTTCCTCTTGGACAATGCTTACATATTTTATACTGAACTGCATTGAATCTAATTGTACTTGATTGCATTGGCAGGTTTTATTGCATATGAGTCCATATAAATTATATATGCATTCAAGTTATCTTTGAGTCGACTGAAAAATTGAGTTGCTTTTGTTTATGTGTTAGAGCAAGTCCCCATTCAAGTAATTATTTGAGAAAAAAAAAGTGCATTCCTAGTTTTGGAGTCACTCCAGTCATGGATCAGTTCGAAGATGCATCTCGAGAACTGAATTATTTTGTTTGAGCATTTGGTGCTAATGGGATGATTGATTTATGTACATTTTTGTGTGTAAACATTTTATAAACCCCCTTCCCCCTTCCTTCTGAGACCATATTAATCTCCATATCGATCAATCATCATTATTGTTGTCTTACTTTTGTAGTATCCATGGGCAATGCGCAATCATCATGTTTGATGTAACAGCCCGGTTGACTTACAAAAATGTTCCGACGTGGCACCGTGATCTTTGCCGGTATGTGACTTTTATTTATTTATCTGACTGTTTGGTTTGGTTTGGTTGTCTCTATGCAAGATTGAAGTGGTACTGAATCCTGTTTACCTTCAACCTGCAGGGTTTGTGAGAACATCCCAATTGTGCTTTGTGGGAACAAGGTTGATGTGAAGAACCGACAGGTGAAGGCAAAACAAGTTACCTTCCACCGCAAAAAGAATTTGCAGTACTACGAAATATCAGCAAAGAGTAACTACAATTTTGAGAAGCCCTTTCTGTACCTTGCCAGGAAACTCGCTGGGTAAGTAACTTCAACTAGTGAGGATCAAACAAAAATAAATGAAGACAGTTTTCAATATAAGTTGCTTAAGGCAAAGTTCTTTGTGGTTGTAGGGATCAAAACTTGCACTTTGTGGAATCTCCTGCACTTGCTCCTCCTGAAGTGCAAATCGATTTGGCTGCACAGCATCAGTAAGTTCTATCCCTCATCACGAGATGCAAGAGTACACATCACATAAATATTAACTGTAATTTGGTGAATTTTGCAGGCATGAAGCGGAGCTCCTTGCGGCTGCCAGTCAACCATTGCCTGATGACGATGATGATGCCTTTGAGTAAAAACTTTCAATTAGAAAGAAGTAGTGCATTCCTTTGACGGCCAAAATTTTCTCTTGTAATTTTGGGATTGTCAGGCTTTTCTATCCTGGATTCAAGTTCCTAATGTGGGGGTTTTGCATTCTTGATAAATTGTGGTTTTTGATTTGCTTGGGGGAAAGATTACTCATCATTTATCTATGTATTGGATATGATACTAGTTGTACGATGAATGAGTGAGATTATGCTTAATGTTTACTTCCGATTTGCTTCCGACTAGAATTCAAGAGGTTTATCATCAACAGTATATTCCTCGAAATATTAAAAAAACAAATAAATTCTGTGCAAGTTGTGTGGGAAATATAAAATCTGTTTCTTACCTAGAAAATTACAAAAACTGTAAAATCTATTCTTGGCATTCATTGGAAAGCTTTCACGAACATGAACATAAAGGCAACTCGATAAGATGCTCGAAAGGGCCGAAATAAGTAAAATAGTAAATTGATAAATTTAGAAATTTTTTTAACTCTTTACGAACACGAACACACTTAGCTAGATATAATCGTTTGAGTTATCTTTTTATCTCATTAAAATGAAAAATATGACCGTTATCCATCACATCAACATTTAAATTCAAATTTTCTATTTCTTGTGTGGGCTCCAATAACGACTATATTTTTCATTCTCATTCTATAAAAAGGTGACTCAAACAGGACCTTAGTATTACACTTCAAATCATTATAAATCTCACTATATATTTCCTGTGATTCTACTGAATGTATTTGATTCTCTCTGCTTCTCCACTCCACAATTTTGTCTCCTTTCAGTGTTCCACAGATGAATCTAGTCCAACTCCTTCCTTCATATAATTCTCCAACGAGAAAATATCTTGCCAAACAAGTCAAAAGAGCTCCTCAAGACCATAGCAATGGAGGTGAACAGCCAGCCTGTAGCAGTGTCAAGACAATTTATTTCTTGTGATACTGAAATATTCATACATTATTTTCTGAGCACAGTTTAGTTCCATTAACAAAAGTTTCAAAAAGTTGCAGAACTTCTCACCAATACATGATATTCTAGGAGAACACTAATCATGCATCTGAAATATTCATTATCCTGCCAGTTTAATTCTTGCAGACCATATAAAAATAAAAAAAGAAAGAAAGATAACAAAAAGGACTGGAGGAGAAAGAAAACAATCACATTTCTCAAAAACATACATTATTTTTCTATTTGATGTCGTGTTAATTGCTTAACAGTCCTACTGTATACAAGGAAGCTAAAGAAGCACTGTGCAAATGCATTGCGAGAATGATGGAAGTCATCAAATTTGCACGTAGTGCATCCATTCAATTCAATTTTCTCAAATTTGCAAAAACACTGAATTATTCAAATGCCTTCAAAAGGACCAGGACACCCTTCCATACAAGTCCGAGTTAGTACCTAAAAGTGCAGCATGAACCTGAATAAGACTGGGCCGCACCTGCTGTATTGCGCTACTAAGGAGAAGTAATGTCTGATGAAGAACTTTCATGTTACTGAAGCAGCAGCTAGGCATTTTGTTAAACTGGTGTATGTGCTATGATGGAAAAAAATGAATACTAAGGACATCACTAAGTAGTGATTTATCTATTAGATATATTACAAACATTTATATGCATAATAGATATATACTGTGTTATAATTATATTTATCTGTATATTACATTTCACAAAGGAACATTTATCTACACTAATCAATTTCAGTCTTAAAAAACACATCGTTTAGTCGTTAGAGAGCGGTACTACAATGGTGCTTCATATAGCTTTTAAAAAACGTTGCTTTGGTGCACGTTTCGGAAATAAAATTGTGGGGTGGGGGGGCTCTGTTTAACTATATACTTCTTCATCCAGCATAATTACGATATTGACAAATCAGGATAAGTTTAAAAGCTATTTAAATAGAGATACCAGAGACTGGCCGTAAGTTTTTCAAATCTGTGACAAAGTGGAAGACTGAATTGTCGAATAGTTTGTGCCAAGAGAAATGCGACAAACTCTTATATCATCATTAAGCCTTTGGAAGCAATTGAAGCATGCCTCCAACTGCGGCCCTGGAAAATGTAGGAAATTGAGTGTCGATCAATAACATTCTCAACCAGAATATTATGTGCTGCCACAAACGTATGGAGAAAATCAAACTAATAATAGTTTACGACAAATGCATAATCAATGGCAAAGAGTATTAAGAAGCGACATGCAACTCAAAGCTAATCACAGATGAGTTGATATCATAACTCCATTACAGTGAGCAGAAGGAGAACTAAACCACTTCGAATTAGTAGCTTCTTAAACCCCTAAAAGATGTCATTGCCCTTTATGACTTTAACACAATATCTAGTGTGACTTTTCGGAATATTCAATATGCGGCAGAACAGTTCTAGGTATGCATGCAGTAGAGATTGGTTTTCATCTATGCACTGCACATCGTTGGAGTTCATGATAGAAGCATATAGTTTCAACAAGTTCAGACTGGTAGAATATCACAATAGATATCTGACACCAAAGGGTGAAATAAAAGGTTACCTGCTAAATAGGTACATAATGCTTCTGCCTCAAAAATATTAGTTCTCATGCAGTACAGACGTTTTACAACACTGTTACATAACTGGAATCAAGAAAAAATGCATAGCAGCCAGCATATCCAAATACGGCTATAATACATTCATTTCTTTGGAACAATTGTCTACATTATTTTATCAATAAGAATTTGAGACGTTGTCATAGATACAAAATGTCACTGTCTAGATAATTGTAGACCTAACAACTAAGACAGAAGATACTCAACGTAACAGGTCATCTTTCTTAAAATGTTCAACCAGAAAATAAAAGGATAAAATCCTATGATGAACAAAAAACTAAAGAAAAACACTGGTTCTACATTATCTGACGTGTACCAGTTTTAGTGGAAATTAGATACTTCAGCTCCATCAAATGTTCATCATTTGAAATGTGGAGCATAATACGAAGATTTGTCAACAATGCCTCTTTGTCCCAACTTAAGGGACCAGAAGCATACAATGCTTCCAGAGTGCAATGATAAGCATGCAACTCTAACCTATGAATCCTGGCTTCTACTTCTTCTTTTGGGAGACTTCGCGTTTTTCCCTCAGAGCCTGAGCCTGGACCATAACACGACTCCGCATCACTACAAAGAGTATCTGCCACTTGGCATGGTAGTGATATGACATGACTATAGTAGTTGTTTGAACTCCGACTAGTAACACTACAACTACCAACAGAACAGGCATTGGTATCAGAATTATTAAATTCTGAGCTTCTCAATCCACAATAGCCATAAATATCATTTTGTTTAGGCCTCTCCATTTGATTATATCCATATGATCGATTGTTAAAGGAAGCATGCATGTGTTTTCCACCCAGGATTTCTCTTGGGTAAGCAACAGCATCTACCTTTTCAATTATGGGGTCAACCACCATATTCTTCATTTCTTCTTTCTCAATTGCTCTTATTTTCGGGACATGTCCATTATTTGCTTCAATAACAGATGAGCAGTAGGGAGACATCCTCTTCAGGGACCTAAAAGATACTAGATGAGATTCCCGCACTCCAATATCACATCCTCTGGAACCCTGCAAGCAGGAAGCATTGGGAGATCAAAGATTGCAAGCAAAGGATTTACAAGGAATCAGGCAGATACGAGAAAAAAGGGAAGTCTAACAAAGCAAGATTGACGTCTTCGCGAGGCAGAATATGGGGTCAATCAACTGACGTCAAGAAACATGAACTGCAGAAAATTAAGATCTCAACAAATAACTAAAAGAAGTAAAGCACCTTCTCCATTAAAATCCATTTATCATTGTGCCAGGTTTGTATAATCCTAGCATTTGATCTGTTGATTATTAATTCCTGAGAGCACCCGAGAAGCCTTACTAAATATTTATTGCCATTCAAAACCTTCAAGATCACAGCAATCTTCCATGAATGGTCATCGCACACCTCCACAATGCTTCCGGCTACGCAATTCTCCAAACCTTCCACGAGAGGAGGGCATGGCCTCAAAAACTTCCTTGTTACCCTTTCCACCATTGGCTGATTTGCATTACCTGGATAACAATCATATTGCACGTCACAAGTATGGCCATTGACAGATAGTATCTCAGCCATACGCCACGTGACTGGATCACCCCTTTTATTCATAACTTCTACTTTACTCCCTCTTTTGAGCCTCATTGTGATTGCTATCGAACACAAGAAATCACAACCTGTCATTTTCATGTAGACAATATATCACATAACAAATTTATAAGAGAACCAGTCAATAGATCTGAAAGAAAACATTCTGATAACTGAACAAAGGTAAATAAAAACCTCATCTACATCTTATAGCATAAAAGTAAATAAAACTAAATGTTTAAAACTTCTATTCCAGAAGGATCAACTTTAAAAATCCAAAGATATCCCCAAATATTGAATAGAAATAAACCAAATATTTCGATCTTCTAGGTAAATCAAGGTAACCACTTTTAATAACTTCCCAAAATCAGTAAAAATAAATAAAAATTCAAAACACAACATCCCTCTTTGAAATCATTGCTCTAAATTAATCTATAAACTGAAAGATAAAATAATTCTTCAAAAGATAATTAATATATATTAAATCAAAATTGAGTTGGTTACTAAATCTACAGGAGTTAAATTTTTTAAAACCTAAACTCACTGAAAAAATACCAATAAAATATATAAAAATGAGAAACACTCCACCAAAAAATTTAAAATTCATATCAATCAACAGGAAAATGAATTAATACCATAGACGATACAACCTATTAAAAAATCCACAAATTCAAATGCAAAAAATTTAACCAATTCAGATATTCAAAACACCCAAGTTGAAACCCTAAAACTGAGAAATTACTCACCTGTAATCAAAATTGAAGGAAAAATCCGACCTGATAAATTTCCTAATTTGTGTTTTGATCTCTAGGGAATTCTAAATCAACTTTGGGAATTTAATTTTGTGTTCTAGGGTTTATTTCTTTGCCGTGAGGATAATTAATTGGGACAAACAAATTAAAAATATTTGTAAATATGAGGTGGAGGGTATTATTTAAATATTAAAATATTGGTCTAGAATTCAATCGATTACCATAAAACGTAGGAGTGTGTAATGCACGTATTTTTGTTGTACAAAACATACATAACCCTTGATGGCATTATTTTGAGAAAATGCAATTTTATATAGGGATTTTTTGAAAAATGTAAAATTAAAAAGTAAAAAGATTTGAATTTACTTGCAACATATTTATCGTGTAAATTTATAGTAAAAAATAGTGTGAAAATTAAAGAATTTTGAAATAATAATTGTCAAACAAAGATTATGTTAGATATGTCATGTGCTCTTCTGATCGTATGCTACATTATTTTAATATTTAAAACTCCATTCTTGCTACAAAAATAGATTTGTTTTCATTTTCACACACATTAAGAAAATATAATTAATATAGTTGAAAATATAATTTTTTAAAAACACTTTTCTTAATATAGCCCATACATTAAATAATTGTTTAATTATAAGTATTTTATATTTATTGATAGTAAGACACATTAAATAGGGGTATATTAAAAAAAATTTAAAAAGTGATCTATAATTTATAACAGACGAAAAGTAACAGTCATATAGATGACGACCACTGTTTAAAATTTCATTACCAATTATTTACTCTACTAGCTTTTTATTATTATTATTATTCTCGAAAAAGCTTCATTGAGAATTTTGCCTAAAACCCCTAAATTGCTTGAGCTGCATCTTACTGCTTAAGTTGAGAAGCAAAATCTAGATTCACTAATGTATGACTTGTGAAGATCATGTGACGATTTAATAGAGAATTATACGTCATTGAGATTGAATATGCAATTATAATAAATAAATGAGACCAGCTTGCTCTTGTTTAAAGGTTGATGGTAAATTGCTATTCACATTTTTAATGATTAATTTCAACCACTTATTACATAAGTTCCACAATAACTATCAGTTTTTTCACCACTCATTTTTAGGGATGGCAACGGGGGCGGGGCGAGACAGGGGGCCCTCCTCGCTAAGAAATTCCTTGCCCCGTTATCCGTTTAAGGCGGGGCGGGGGTGTGTCATTTCCTCATTTATTCTCTGTTAAATTTTTTTTTAATTTTTGATAATTTATTTTATTGCTCATATTCATTAGATTTAGATAAATAATTTTAGTTGCTATTTTCTATTACAACTAANTATTTTCTATTAGAACTAATAAAAAATTTCATTTAAAATATTGAATTCTAAAAAAATAAAAATAAATAAATAAATAAAAATTTTAACGCGGGAGGGTGGGGGGGGGGGGTTCCCACCCCCTTACCCGAGTAAGTAGGGGATCATGCTAGTTGTACAACCGATGTTGACAACATCGGTTGACAACCACTTACATTGGTCTGCTTTTTTTTTTTTTTTAATTGTTTAAACGTGTGGACCCCGTACACATGTGAGATGTTGTTAACCTTGATTGTACAAATAACATTTTCCTTAAGGAGGTTATCCCGGTCCCATTCGGGGCGAGACCCTGCGAGTATCGAGTTTGTCTGATTTTTTGCCATCCCCACTCATTTTATTGGACCCATCATTACTCTTTATCAAAATCAACTTTTTAACTATCTCATACAAGCACTATAAAATGTTAATGGGCATGAGAACCAACACCTCAATTAAACTGGCTTTCAATTAAAAAATCTTAATTACATTGTGGGTTAGTTAATTTGACTAATGATGCTTAAAGTATGTGCAGAATTTCACATTCATCGTTAGTAATTTTCTAATCCACATCGTCACTAAAGTTATTGATAGCTTCACTAATATATTTACGTTACTCTCAAAGAAAATTGCAATTAAGCCCTCTAACATTTACGACATGTACAAATGGATTCCTTACCTTCAAATTTTGACATCATAGTTCTCAACTAATGTAGTGGAACAGGTTCTCACCAACGCAATTCGCTAGTAAAGATTAAATCGACGTGTGTACTACACAAGTCTAACTTTATAAATGACAAATCAGTCAATTCCTAAAGTTTAATTAAAATAAGTATAGTAAATAAAAAGAAGAAAAAAAAAATCGAAAAGTAATCTATATCCGCCCTCACCCATTCAGCCATTCTGTGTCTCAACCCCATCCACTTAAAACTAAAATTTATGTCGAACGAACCTTAAATGAGTTTTGCTCGCATACAAAAGGTTATTTGTAGTTATTTGTAGTCGCTCACTACTGTAGTCATCATACGTGGCATACATGTGGTAATTAATGATTTGACGCATTAATTTAGTAATTTTTTATTGCTTCATTTATCAAAATTATTAACCGCTACATGTATCCACGTGGAGCAATTACGGTATTGAGCGACTGCATATATCATTACTCCAATAGGACTCGTTGAAGATATAAGCGAATATCTAACATGTATCAATACTGGACCAATATTCAGTCAGTTTCAACTAAACATACTGATTGTTGCTTCAAAAACCATGGTTTCTGTCTACTGAAGAAGACATTTGACAGTGGTAGATTTGTCATTGATTCACCAACGAAGCTGTTCTTCGAGAATGTCGTTGAAACTGGAAACCTTTGTAATACTCGCCAACGATTCCAATCCTGTCTGGCCAATGACAAAAAAGAAACCAATTTTCTAATACATTTTTACAGATTAGAAGATACTACCGATAACTGGAGACCTTATCGTGAGAATCAAACTAAGCAACTTTTTTCTTCTTATATAAACCACCAAAATATTCAAGAAATTAATCAAAAGCACCGGAACTTTTTCTTCCAAAACCTGCTTAAGGCCTTAAGCTTAATTTATTCAAGCTTCTTTTCATGGCTTCACCACCACCACCACAATTTGTTTTTCCTCCCAACCTAATTCCCGACGAGGCAAACCCGCCATGGATGAGCAAAGGTGACAACGCGTGGCAGCTAACAGCCGCCACATTAGTCGGCCTACAGAGCGTGCCGGGGCTCATAATCTTATATGGTGGTGCTGTGAAGAAGAAATGGGCTGTGAATTCAGCTTTCATGGCGCTTTATGCTTTTGCATGCGTTCTTGTTTGCTGGGTTTGCTGGGGATACAGACTCTCTTTCGGGGATGAACTGATTCCCGTTTGGGGCAAGATTAATGTAGCATTATCTCAACATTATTTACTTGAACAGGGATTTGCTGGCAAGTTTCCGAATGCAACAATGGTGTTTTTCCAGTTTGTTTTTGCAGCAATTACTTTGATTTTAATTGCTGGTGCTGTACTGGGAAGAATGAATTTCTATGCATGGATGCTGTTTGTTCCTCTTTGGCTTACTTTTTCTTACACCATTGGAGCTTATACTATTTGGTCTCTTAATGGGTGGCTGGCGGTGGCCGGGATGATTGATTATTCCGGCGGTTATGTTATTCATTTATCCTCTGGAGTTGCTGGTTTCACAGCTGCATACTGGGTACGTTTGGGAACTTGGCAGCTGAAGTGTTCAACCACCTCATCTCAAAGTTCATATTTACTTATTTTTGCTTTCTAACACGTCCTTTAACATTTAGGGTAAATTATTTTTTTTCATCAAAAGCCTTACACGTGGACAATTTTTGTAAATGAGTGATGACGATACTTGAAATCAACACTTTTGTTGGCTACATGGATGGATGGAGGAGGGGGCTACCCCCCCCCCCCCTCCCTCCCCCAGCTATTTTTTTTTTTAGTTTTTTTTTTTTTT